TCAGGAGCCATCTGGGGGCGATGAGGGTCGCGCCGCACAGCAGCCGGGACTTCTGGAACAGGGCCGCCTGCCAGGGCTGGGAGTGCGCGCGGCACTCGTACCCCTTGATGATCCTCGTCTCTCCTCCGACATGCCCTGGGGGTGGGAGCAGGAGAGGGGACCCAGGCCTGAGAGGAGGCGGGCTGGGAGGGGTGGGAGTGGGTGCTTCGGGCCCTGCCTGTGACCGGGGGATGTTGGATGCTCTGCCCCAGGACGGGCCAGGCATGGGTCCCTGCGGGAGAGGGTTGAATTGCTCCCCTGCTGGGGGTCAGTAGCCCCGTCTGGAGCTCTCTGGGTGACCCTGAGCCCACCCCCAACCCCACTTCCTAAGCCTCTCCTCATTCAGGCATTTCAGGGGGCCCTGTCTGGGGCGGGCAGCCAGCACCTCCGTGGCTGCTTGGAGGCCGCCTGGGCTGTGCTGTCCTGGATGTCGCCCTGCAGCACCCCGGAGGGCTGGGACAGGGAGGCTCCCCGTTCCTCCTTGGTACCTGTCACCAAAGCAAACGTGATGAATCGCAGGATCGTCATGGTTCGGAGTGGGGAAGGGCAGGCCCAGGGTCCTCTGGAAACAAGAAAGGGAGATTGGGGCTGGGCCGTGCCCCCCCACACACCCTCACGTGTCCTGGCCTCCCCTCTGCTCCCTTCCCGGGCTCTTCCCCAGGGAAAAACAGGTTTGGGGAAACCCCCTGGTTCTCAGAGCTGAACTGCGAACACTTCCGAACACTTCGGAGAGATCTCGGGCGTGGAAGGTGGCCCTGACAGGAGCCTGGCGGCAGCTGGAAGCTTCGGGGTGGCAAGGAGGGCGGGAAAGCTGCCGCAGGGGTGGCCCCTTTGCTCAGCGCCCGGCCCTCCATGTTTTGGAGAATGTCTTTTTGCCTTCCGAGAGCTGGCCAGGGTCCAGCTGCTTAGGGTGGGAGGACAAGGGGGACCTGAGCCCATTTGTTTTCACAGTGCCCACAGCAGGACGCGGGCCTTTGAGGTCTACCCTGTGGAGTAAGGGGCGCTCCCTGAGACAGCGTTCTGGTCCCCTGTCTTGCCAAACTCCTGGCATGCTGAGGGACAGCCGGATGGGGCTGGGCGGGGCTGGTCAGGGGAGGGCTGGTGCCCTCAACTGCCCTGGCAGCCAGGGGTGGGGGTGGAGGGCTGGCCTTGTTGCATGAGGACCTGAGGTCAGAGGTCGTGGAGGTTGGGGGCACCCGGTTGGAGGCGAGAGAGAAAGAAAGCCCTGTCGCACCAGGAAAGGACCCAGCAGAGCAGAGGGAGGAACCTGCTGGCTGAGGCCAGGCGACCCGACCAGGAAGACAACCGCCCGGAGGGGGAGCAGTCCCTCCCCTCCCCGACTCACGGGCTCTGAGGCTCTGGGGGCCAGCGGCAGCTGCAGGCAGGCTGGGGGCAGGCTGGGTCGGAGCGCCAGGCACCAGGCAGGCGCGCAGGCAGGGG